GCGACCGCCGCGGCCCGCGCCGCGCGGTCGAGCAGAACCCGCCGCGAGACGTCGAGCTCGAGGAACGCGACGGCGAACGCGGGCCGCGCGTCGCCCCGCGTCGGCGCCGCCGGCGCCGCGAGCGCGCGCTCGACGGCGGCGCGCGCCGCGTCGTCGTCGCCCGCGGCGACGGCGCGCCGCGCGTCCGCGAGGAGCGCGCAGAGGTCCTTGAGCTCGAGGAGCGCGCCGTCGCCGGACACGTCCGCGCCGGCGGCCGCGCACTTCCGCTCGCGGTCGTCGCAGGCGGCCAGCGCGTCGTTGAGGGGCTTCGCGGTCACGTGCGCGAAGACGTCGGAGTCGACCCACTCGTCGCCGTCGAGCCCCGCGTTGGGGTCGAAGGCCGCGACGGCGTCGGGCCGGCCGTCCATGGGCGCGAGCGCGAGCGCCTTGCGCGCGGCGCGGTAGTGCGCCTCGACCGTCGCCGCCGCGACCTCGTCCCGCGCGGCGGCGGCGACCGCGCGCGGCGCGTCCGCGAGCGCGGCCTCGAGGCCCTCGACGTCGACGAGGTGGACGATCTGGCCCGGGGGCGCGCGCCCGAGCAAATCCGGCGCGTCCGGCGGCGCGAGGAACGCGTTGCGGACGCGCAGCACGTAGGCGCACGACGCCGCGAGTTCGGCCAACTCCGGCGCCTCGTCCCCGCCGCGCGCGGCCCGCGCGGCGAGCGCGGCCTCGAGCGCGTCGACGCCGACGGGCGCCGTGCAGGGCGGCGGCCCGACGATGCGCCCCTCGCGCAGGCCCGCGAGCAGCGCGTCGCGGACCGCGCCGTCGCGCGCGCGCGCCGCGACGGCCGCGCGCTCGCCCTCGACGGCCGCGGCCCAGGCGCCCACGGCCCAGGCGCCGTCGTCGCCCGCGAGCCGCGCCGCGTCGTCCCACGCGCCGCGCGCGTCGAAATCCCGGAGCTCGAGCAACGTCCGCGCCGCGGCCCGCGCGTCGCGCGTCTTCTTGGAAAGGGCCCGCGTCCGCGCGGCCTCGTCGGCGCTTTTGACGGCCGACGCCAGCGCGGCGCCGTCGCCGGACGCGAACGCGGATTGAAACTCGGCGACGAGCGCCCGCTGCTGCTCGACGATCTCCGCGGCCGCGCGCCGCGCGCGGGCCTCGTCGTCGGCCCAGAGGCCCGCCGCGAGCTTGCCGTCGCTCCGGAGCTCGTCGAGCGCACCGAGCGCCGCCGTCAGCCGGTCCTCGTCGCGGTCCCGCAGCCCCAGGTCGAGGCTCCGCTTCACGTCCGCGACGCGCGCGACGGCGTCCCTCGCCGCGACGGCCCGGCCGTAGTTCTCCGAGTCGCCGGGCCCCGCGCCCTGTACGACGCGCCCGAGCGCGACGGCCCGAAATCGGAGCCCCTCGGCCTCCGCGACGCCGGCCTCGATGGCGCCGCAGCGCGCGACGAGCGTCTGGAAGTCCGCGTCGCCGCCCAATTCGCCCCGGAGCAGGCCCCCGAGCTCTTTGTCGAGCGCCGCCCGCCGCGCCAGGAAGTCGAGCATGCGCCGCGCCGCGGGCACGTAACTCGCGCGCAGGAAGAGGCCGAAGAACGCCGCGCGGCCCCGGGAGGCCGACGCGCACGCGCGGTCGAGGTCGTCGCAGGTCGCCGCGACGCAGCCGCCGTCCCAGGCGACCATGGCGTCCGCGAGGGCCCGTACCGCGGCCCGGAGCGTGTCGGAGATGCGCTTCGTCGTCGCCGCCGCCAGGGCCCGGACGACCGTCGCGCGCGCGAGCCCGAGCGCCGCCTCGCGCCGTTTTTCCAAGCGCCGGTGGACGCCCGACCGGTAGAGCACGCGGGTCCGGCCGACGACGAGGTCGCCGGAAGGCCAGGCGTCGTCCCGCGCCGCGAGCGCCGCCGCGAGCGCCTCGCACTGGGCCCTCGGCGGCCCCGCGAAGAGCTTCGACCGGTCCGCCGCGCCCGCGCGGTCCGCCAGAAGCCCGACGGCGGCGTGGTAGGACCGGCGGAACGCGACGTGGTCCAGGCGGAAGGGGAAGCCCCGCTGGTGGATCTTGACGGCCTCGAGGACGCCCGCGTAGGTCAGCTGCTCGAGGCAGAGCTTGTAGTCCATGGTCCCCGGCGCCTTCCGCGGGTTCGACTTGACGCAGCGCACGTAGTGGGGCTCCGTCGCGCCGAGCGTCGCCGTGAGCGCGTCGAGCGACTTCTTGAACTTGGCGCCGACGGACGCCTTGCTCGCGGCGCCGCGCCCGGCGAAGCACGCCGCGACGAGCGGTAATGTGCAGTCGCCGAAGGCCGCGACCATGTCGCCCGTGACGCCGTCGCGGTTCTTCTCCACGAACGACGCCGCCTCGTAGCAGACCTTGCCCGCGTAGTGCTCCACGAAGAACGCCGTCGACGCGGACCGCGGCGTCGAGAACCGCGCGTGGCCCGCGTGCCGCTTCGCGAGACGCGCGCGGAAGTTGGCCGACGACCCCCGGGGTAGCTTGGACTCCTCGTCGAGCATCTCGACGACGCCCGGCGGCCGCCGCCCGCCGAGCAGCGCGAGCACGTCCGCGTTGTCGACATAGTCGAGGCGCACGCACTGGCCGACGCCCTCGGCCTCGTAGAGCGCCATCTCCTCGTCGAAGACCGTGCGGTTGAAGAGCCGCTGGAGCCCTTCGTTGGCGAAGTTGATGAGGAGCTGCTCGAAGGAGTTCACGGTGAAGATCTCGAAGCCGAAGATGTCCAAGACGCCGACGACGGGGCCCGAAGACGCCGCGCCGCCGCCGCCGACGCTCTCGTTGACGCGGCCGACGGTCCACTCGAAGAGCGCGCCGTAGAGCCTGGGCGGGAAACAAAAATATGCAACACGACGTCAATAGGCATGTATTCGCACATATTCTTTTCGCTGTCTCCAAAGAATTCGCCGAGAGAACACGATCCTTCCAAAAATTAGCCGAATCGACGTCGACGCGACCGAGCTCGAGAAGTTTTTGCCGGACGGGGCGTTCCGCCGGTTGTTTCCGGCACGGCGTAGCGCTGGCGCGCGAAGGCGTCGCGCGCGACCGCCGCCTGCGGCGGCGGCAGGGGCACCTTGGTCACGGAGCAGCGGCGGCCCGTCTTGACCTCGACGGTCCGCAGCGTGAGCGCGCGCTCGAGCGCGGCCGCGTCCGCGCCGAGGCACGCGGCCGCGCGCTCCAGCGCGTCGCGCCCCGGCGCGTCGGCGGCGGAGCCGTCCTCGGGCCCGTCGCTGTCGCGGAAGGACGCGTCGCCGAGGTGGAGCACGGCCGCGACGATTTTGAGCAGGCCGTCGCGCTCGCGCGCGTCGAAGCCGACGGCCTCGAGCGACGCGCACGTCTCCACGAAGGCCGCCGCGTCGTCGGCGCCCGCGACGTCGAAGCCGCCGCGGCCGTCGCCCGGGAGGCCGCAGTAGAAAAAAACCTCCCGGTCGATGGCGAGCGCGCGCGCGAGCGTGCCGCGCGCGCCCTTGCGGAGCTGGAAGAACGCGTGGAAGTTGCGCTCGCCGGGCGCCTGGCCGACGACGCGGCCGCTTTCGAGGAGGTAGGGCGTGTTGCCGCAGGACGCGATGGCGCCGGACGCGTCGAAGCGGAGCTCCATGAACTTGCCGAAGCGGCTGCCTGTGTGGAATTGAACCACTGGTTTGGGTGGTCCTGACCAAGCTTTGAAATTCTCTAGCTCGGTCGAATCGAAGTCGATTCGGCTGATTTGTGGATGAATCGATTGCTCTCGTCGAGTTCTCGAAGCACAGCCGAAGAGCTTGCGTCGAAACTGTCGCATATGCGCACATCGAAGTCGGGTTGAAGATTTGACTTCCACACAGGCGGCTGCTGTTGTCGTTGCGGCTCGTCTTCGCGTTGCCGAGCGCCTCTAAAATCGGCGACGCGGCGAGGATGCGCTCCTGGACGCCGCCGGGCGACCCGGCGACGAAGGCGAGGTAGGCGAGGGCGTGCTTCGTCGTCTCCGTCTTGCCCGCGCCGGACTCGCCGGAGATGACGAGCGACTGCGACCGCGCCGAACCGGCGTCGCCGCCGCGGACGCCGCGGTAGGCCGCGGCCGCGACGTCGTAGACGTGGGGCGCCAGGGCGCCGCCGGCGCCGCCGCCGTAGTGCGCCAGCGCCGCCGGGCCGTAGAGGCCGTCGATGGCCTTGAACGGGTTGAGCGCGACGAGCACGCTCCCTAAACTCGTGTAGATGTCGTCGTCCTCGAAGCGCCGTCGCAGCGCGTGGAGGATCGACGCCGGGCTCACCTCCGCGAGGAGCACGAGGTCGCAGGGCGGCGGCTCGTCGACGGACGCGACGTCGTCGATGGCGTAGCAGGCCGACGCGGGCGCCGGGTCCAGCGTCCGCCCGTCCCGCGACACGCAAACGAGGTTGTCCCGCTTGTTCCGCGACACGAGCCGCGCGGCGACGAAGCCCTCGGCGTCGTCGGGCACCCAGAACCAGGACGCGTCCATGGCTGTGCGAATCGGGAGCTCAGAGCTGCCCCATCGTCCACCCAGCCCCTTCAACTTTGGCTGAACAATATTTGAGGAATCTTGTCGCCATCGTAGTTGCAGGGGTTCACGACTCGCGCCTCGAGCCCCACAACGATCGATTCGAGGCCCGCTCTCTCGAGCGCGCGCCATGGTGCGCTGAGGCGCCGCCGCATCCCCGGTGTGTCCCGCGCCGCGGTCCGCGGTGCCGCGCGCGCGCCATGGGCGCCGGCGGCAGCGCACACAAGGCCGAGGACGCCGCCAAGGAGGCGGGCGCTCCGGGCGACGACCTCGAGTCCAAGGACGTCGACGAGCTGACGAAGATGGCCTACGAGAAGCAGGAGACGGGCGAGTACCGGGAAGAGGCCCTGCCGCCCTCGCTCAACGCCATGGGCTCCGACATGGACGCCATGCGCGCGCGCCGCGCGGCACGGCCCCGCGCGCGCCGTCGCCGCTCGGCCGATGTTCGGACGAGGCGCGGCCTCGCGTCGGCGCCGGGCGCGACGTCGTCGCGCGCGCGCGCCTCGACGCCGGCGCGGCCCAGGTACTCGCGCATGGAGCAGATCATGCGCGACGCGCGCGACCTCGAGGACTTTACCGAGTTCCTCGTGAAGCAGTACGCCGAGGAGTCGCTCCAGTTCTACCTGGCGCTGGAGGACTTCCAGAAGACGTACCCCTCGGAGCCCAAGGTCATCGTCGTGGGCCCGCCGGGTGAGGGCTCGCCCGCGCCGCCGGAGGCGAAGACGCCGTCCGACGAGTCGCCCGAGTCCGCGGCGGCGCGCCTCGCGGACGCCCAGGCCATCTTCGACGAGTTCCTGAAGCCCGGCGCGGAGCGGCAGATCAACGTGAGCGGCAAGATCGTGCGCGACGTGAAGAAGAAGCTCGGCGAGGGCCGCGCCGAGGCGCGCATCTTCTCCGGCGCGGTCACGTCCATCCTGCAGCAGCTGACGCGCGACAAGCTCATGACCTTCACGCGGGAGCAGAAGGCCAACAAGCAGCTCTGGATCCGCACGCTGCGGTCCATGGAGAAGCACCGCAAGTCCATCTCGGCCGCCGCGCGCCGCGGCTCCTCCTTCGTCGGCCTCGCGGCGCCCCCGGCGCCGCCGCCCAAGGACCCGAACCTCCGCGAGCCGACGGACGAGGTCGTGCGGCGCCTCAGCGTCGACCTGAACAAGGTCGTCGGCAACATGGTCGTCGAGGAGCGCGAGCGCCGCGCGTCCCAGCTCGAGCTCAGCGGGTCCGACGTCGCCGTCGACGCCAACGGGGCGACGAGCGAGGCATAAGGCGCCGTCCCTGCGCTGTACGACGACGACCGGGGGGGCGGCCCTCGCGTTACGACCCCCCTCATCGCGCGCCCTTCTCCGCCTTGAGCGCGGCGAGGCGCTTGCGCTCCTCCTGGGCCTGGTGCTCCATGACGTAGGACACGAGCTCGGCCTCCGTGAAGTAGTCCTCGCCGTGCGTCGAGATGAGCTCCGTGATGCGCTCGCTGTGCTCGGGCGAGATCTCCATGCCGCACATCGTGAGGAACTCGTGGAACTCGGCGTGGTTGATGATGCGGTTCTTGTTGTCGCGCTTCATGAGGTGGAAGGCGCGCTTGACCTTGCCCGCGGCGCTCAGGTTGTTGTCGAGGCCCAGCGCCGTCGCGCAGAACATCTCGAACGTGATCTGGTTCGACCTGCGCGCGCGCGGCGTCGCGGAAAGCGCGCGGCGCGGCGCGGGGGCGGCGGCGGCGGCGGCGGGTCGCCGGTCCGCGACGGCGGACGCCGGCGCCGCGCGACGGCATGGTCGGGTTGTGGAAGCCGAGGAGGTCGAGGATGCGCTTCGCCGTCGACGAGTCGACGATGTGGTCGCGGTCCGTGTCGAAATAATCAAAAACGTGTCGCAGCTGCTCGACCTGGGCGTCGTGCTCGTCCTGCTCCTGCTTCTTGGGGTCCTCCTTCTCCGGCGTGGCCGAGGTCTTCTTGTCCTTGGGGGACGGCGCGGCCATCGTGTCGGGCTGCCCGCCGCTGCGCGGAGGTAAATGATGATGACTTCAATCTCACGAGGTTTGAGACACAGTTGCTTATCGAGTGGCTGCCCGAGCTGACACGATGGTCGCGTACCACAGCCGGACGAAGCGGAACGGGTCGTCGCAGCACACGACGCGCGCGCCCCCCCGCGCGGCGGCGCTCGCCGCCTGGGGCGACGCGGCGCCGGCGGCGGACGCCTTCCCGCCGGCGGGGCCCGGCGAGTTCCCGCCCGGCGCTTTAGGCGCGCGCGCGGGCTGGCTGCTGCGGGGCGTCCTCGCCGCGTCGGTGCGGTCCTGCGGCGCCGCGCTCCGCGCCGCCCTGCGCCGCTGGGCCGCGGCCGCGGCCGCGTCGCCGGCCGGCGCCGCGCGCGCGGAGCGGCTCGCGCGCGCGCTGCGCGCGCTCGCCGAGGACGCGGCCGTCGTCGCGCGCGCGGCGGACGTGCCCCGCGGCGACGCGATGCGCGACGACGCCGCGCTCCTCCTCCGGCGCCTCGACACGCTCCGGGCCATGTCCCTCGAGGTCGGGACCCGCGCGGCCGCGGCGGCCGCGGGCGGCGCGGCGCCCGCGGCGCCGCGCGCGCCGCCGTCGCCGCCGCGGTCGCCCCCGCGGGGCCTCCTCGCCGCCGACGACGACGCGGACGACGACGACGGCGAGTCCTTCGAGGAGGCGGCCGTCGCCGTCGTCCGCGCGCCGCCGCGGCGCGCGCCGCGGCCGAAGGCCCAGGCGTGGCTCGCGAAGCGGCGCACCTACGGCGGCGACTACGACGACCTCCCGGAGCAGCCGCCGCCGCGGCCCGCGCCGGCGAAGAAGCCACCGCCGAAGAAGCGGGCGCCGAAGCGGCCGCCGGAGCCGCTGCTCTACGACGTCGCGTCCTGCGCGCGGCGGCTCGCGGAGGCGCTCTACAAGGTCGGCGAGCGGCTCTTCGCGTGCGTCGACGCGGACTTCCGCGAGATGCCCCTGCGCGTGCGCCGGCCGCCGGTCCACCTCGACGTGCAGCGCCTCGAGGTCTTCCAGAACAAGCTCCACGCAGGGCGGGAAAAGAGCGCGAACTTCCCAACTTCAAAGGCTCCTCTCTCGGCCGTTTTCCACTCGTTTCGGCTGATCTTTGGACGAGCGATCATCTCTCGGAACGGTCTCGAAGCGTGCATGCTTTTTCCGGAACGCGCGCGCGCGGAACACCCACGTTGAAGCGACGTTGAATCTCTCGTTTCCCGCCAGGCTCCACGAGGCGGCGAACGGCGTCGCCGCGCGGTTCCTCGGCGACCTGGAGGCGGCCGCGCGCGCGGACCTGAGCGCGCGCCCACAAGCGTCGCTCGCGGACGCGGACGTGGACCTCGACGCGCTCCTCGAGGACGGCGCGGAGCTCGAGCTCCGGACGCTGCTCTCCGCGGTGTCCCAAGCGACTCGCTCCGCGTGGACGCGGCGGCGCCGCGACAAACGCGAGGCGCCCATCGTGCCCCGGTCGAAGCGCTGGCGCACGGACTTGTTGCACCGCCACCCGCCCTGCTCGCGCAAGGGGTGCCTCGTCTGCTCCGCGCGCGCGAAGCGCGACCTCGAGGCGCAGATGGCGCTCGGCCTCCGGCCGAACGCGGGGCCCCGCGAGTTCTGGGACGTCATCTCCAAGACCCAGGACGCCGTGGACACGGACGAGACCCTCGAGGCGGACCTCGAGCTCTCGCTGCCGGCTGTGTGGAAATCAACCAGTGGAACGCCCCGTCCAGCAAAAACTTCAAACCTCTCTAGCTCAGTAACATCGAAGTCGATTCGGCTGATTTTTGGACGAATCGATTGCTCTCGTCGAGTTCTCGAAGCACAGCCGAAGAGCTTGCATCGAAACTGTCGCATAAGCGCACATTGAAGTCAGCTTGAATATTTGATTTCCACACAGGCTGCCGGCCATCGAGGCGCAGATGTGGCGCGTCGTGTTGCTGGTGCGGTGCCACGACCGGAAGTTGGGGTTGCGCCTCAACCGCGACGAGTCGCAGCGGAAGCTGCTGGACCTGCGGCTCTACGAGCTCGTCTTCCTCTACCTGCGGAACGTCGCGCGCGCGCCGGCCCCGGGCGACGAGCCGCCGCCGTCGCCGCCGCGGTCGCGGCCGGGCTCGCCGTCGCGCGGCGCGCCGCCCACGCTCGCGGACCTCGACGACCGCGACTTCGACGCGACGCTCGAGTTCGTCGACCGGCGGCACGACTAAGCCGCCTCGTCTTCGTTTCTCGGCGCGGCAGGGTGATGTACGTGGCGTCGCAGGGCGACATGTTTTTTTTTAGTGGTCTTCAAGTCAACCACACGGTGCGGTTTGAGGTTCGTGTTGCCCTGCACAGGCCTGCGAGCACGAGCAAAGCGATGAAGGGCTTGCTCATGCTGTTCCTAGCGCTCACCCGGCGCGGGGCCCTGGGCCTGTCGACGCGGCGCTGCGTCGCGACGAGGCGCCCCAACGACAGCTTCCTCGCGCGCCTCGGCGGCGTCAAGCGGGCGCCGCGCCTCGCGCCCCGTCCCGCGACCGTCGAGGGCGCGGCCCCGGACCGGCCGCCGACGCTGCCGTCGGGGACGTTCCGGCCGAAGCAGTCCCTGGGCCAGAACTACCTGAGCGACCAGAACTACGCGACGAAGATCGTCGACAGTTTGGGCGACGACAGCGAGCGGGGCCGCCGCGTCGTCGAGCTCGGGCCGGGGCTCGGCGCGCTGACGCGCCTGCTCCTGCGCCAGTACCCCGAGATGGTCGCCGTCGAGATCGACGGCCGCGCCGTCGAGCTCCTGGAGCAGACCTACCCCGCGCCCTTCACGGTGCTCCACAGCGACGTCCTCGCGGTCGACTACACGAAGCTCGCGGCCGCGCGCGGCGGGCGCCTGTCCGTCATCGGCAACCTGCCCTACTACATCACGTCCCAGATCCTCTTCTGCCTCTGCGACCACCACGCGTCCGTCAGCCGCGCCGTCGTGACCATGCAGCACGAGGTCGCGCTCCGCCTCGTCGCGAAGCCGCGGACGAAGGACTACGGCATCCTCAGCGTCGTCTTCCAGCTCTACGCGCAGCCGAAGATCGCCTTCAAGATCCCCCACACGGCCTTCTACCCCCAGCCCAAGGTCACGAGCGCGCTCGTCGCCATCGACTTCCCCGAGGGCGGCGTCGACCTGCCCGTGGACCCGCGGAAGCTCCGGACCGTCGTGACGACGGCGTTCCGCCAGCGGCGGAAGATGCTCCGCCAGTCGCTCAAGGGCATCCTCAACGGGGCAACGCTGCCGGACCAGTTCGCCACGAAGCGGCCCGAGGAGCTCGCGCCCGCGGAGTTCCTCGACCTCACGGGCGCGATCTACGGCTTCGACGGCGACGGCGGCGCGCACGACGGCACGCCCATCTGGCGCACGCAGAAGCTCCGTAAGGGCGAATTCTAGCGCGCGCGTCTGGAGCCCGAGGTCGAGCCCCCGGCACTCGCCACTTCCGTTCTTAGCCGAGGTCGCCGAGGGGGTCCTCGTCGTCGCTCGCGCGGCGCCGCGAGTCGTCGGCGTGCGCCTTGACCCGCGCGGCGAACTCCGACGACGACGCGCAGAGCTCGTTGAAGCGCGGCGGCGCCGGGCCCGTGGAGAAGGGGTCGCCGTGGATGAGCAGGTCCAGGTACGCGAACGCCGCCTCGAGGTCCGCGTCGTCGTAGTCCCTGGCGGCCGGCCCGGGCGCGGGCGTCGACGCGGCCGGCGCCGGCGGCGCGGGGCGGGGCGCGCCGGCCGTCGGCATGCGGATCGCGGCGGCCGGCGGCGGCGACGCGGGCGCGGGCGGCGGCGGCGGCGGCGGCGCGCCGCCCTCGTCGTCGTGGAGCTTCCAGCAGCAGTGGGTGCCCGGCACGAGGCCGTAGGGCCCGCGGCCCGCGCCGCGCGACTTGTCCACGAGCCACCAGCCGTCGTCGAGCTTGTCCAACACCGCGACCTCCTCGCCGCGCGCGACGGAGAGCTGCCAGTCCTCGGCGGCGGCGAAGTCGTTGACGACGAGGGCCATCGACGCCCGGCCCGCGGACGGCATGGGCTGCGCGCGCTCCATGAGGCGCTGCGCGGTCGCCGCCTGGGACGCCGACAGCGTCTTCCTGCCGCAGAGCTTCTCCAGCGTCGACGGCCGTTTGGCGACGGACGCCAGGGCCGCCTTGAGGGCGCCCACGCTCGACGCCTTCTTCTTCGGCGCGCGGAGGGCCATGGCGCGGCGATCACGCGCGAGGCTTCTCGGCGCGGGCCGGGGACATCGGGCTGCGGCGGCACTCGGGTCCTTCGGCCGCGCTTCAAGTTTATTTTTTTAGAGTTGGCCGGGGGTTTCGCCTGGGGTTTCGAGTCGCCGCAAACGCAGCAGCTCGCCGGACGACGAGGTGGACGATGCCACACGGCCGCTAGCGCCCTACGCGCCCCCGGGCCGCGGCGTAGTTCGCGTCGCACGTCGCGTCGTCGCGGCGCGACCGCCGCGCGCAGTTGAAGTTGCGCCAGGGGAAGGGCGCCGCGCACTCGGGCCGCGCGAGGAGGGCCGGGTCCACGAAGGCGCAGAAGGCGCGCATGGTCGCCCGCCGGTCGCCGTCGGTGTCGAGGACGAGCAGCCGCTCCGGCGACTCCGCGAAGAGCGCGCGGACGTCCGCCGCGTGCGCCTGTGTGGAAACCAAATCTTCAACCCGACTTCAATCTGAGCGTATTCGAATGTTTTGACACAAGTTCTTCGGCTGGGCTTCGAGAACTCGACGAGAGCGATCGATCCGTCCAAAAATCAGCCGAATCGGCTTCGATGTGACCGAGCTAGAGAATTCTCAAGTTTGGTCAGGACCACCCAAACCAGTGGTTGGTTTCCACACAGGCGTGCGCCTCGTAGGCCGCGAGGAACGCCGCGGACCCGGGCATCGCGCCGCGGCCCATGAGCCGCGCGTACTGGGCCGCGGCCCAGGGCTTGACGACCGTCGTCCAGTGCGCCACCGACGCGTTCCACGCGCGCGGCTCGCGGTACGTGAGCACGAACTTGGCGCCGGGCCATCTCCGCGCCGCGGCCGCGACGAGGGACACGTTCCAGGAGAAGCGGGAGTCCTGCGTCGCCTTGTGCCGGCTCAGCGCGCTCAGCGAGCCGCACTGGCACTCGGGCTCGAGGTGGAGCCTCTGGAACGCGGCCTGCAGGCTCGTCGTGCCGCTCTTCTTCCAGCCGACGCCGACGATCTTGGCGTCGAGCCAGTCCGGCGCGCGGCGGCAGGCGCCGCCGCTCGCCGGGCGGCAGAGCCAGGACCGGCAGTCCTCGGCGCTCCCGTCGCGCGCGAACGGGCACGGCGGCGCCGGCGGCGGCGCCGGCGCCGGGCGCGCGGCGGCCGTCGCGTTCGGCGGGATGACGCAGCCGACCTCGCGCGAGTGCTGGCAGGGCCGGCGCCGGTGCCGCGGGCCGTCGGTGCAGCACATGCGCACGCCGCCTTTGCGGCTCCCGCAGCCGTCGCCGCCGCAGACCTTGCAGGACTTGGCGCAGCAGTAGGCGTCGCCGGCGCGGATGCCGTTGCGGCAGAACGGGCGCGCCGCGACGACGACGCGCGCGGCGAGCAGCGCCGCGACCGCGCGCCGCATCACGCGGATGCTCGGCGCCGCATCACATCGTGGCTGCCCAGTCGCGGCCGACGATGCACTGCAACATTTGATTTTGTTTACCAAGAGATGGGGCTGCATTGAGCTGCCCCGCCTGTGAGAGCGCGCACCTCTTGTGACCCATGTCCTTCGCGACGCGCCTCGCCATGGCGCGCATCGACTCCGAGTGCGCCAAGGCGGACGAGCGGGACCGCTCCGAGGCGGCCTTCCAGAAGCGCCGCGAGGCCGCGGCGTCGAAGGACGCCGAGGCGCCGGACCCGGGCGCGCGCTGGAGCTGGAGCCCGCCCGGCGCCGAACGCAAGCGCGACGGCGGCGAGGCCAAAATGAGCGACGACGCCGCGGCGGCCGAGGCCCCCGTGGGCTGCCCCGCGCACCGCTTCCACCCGCGGCGGGGCCGGACGCGCGAGCGCGTCGCGGCGGCGCTGGCCTACTGGAATGACTACTGGAAGCAGTACGACGACCCGGACATGATGGAGCTCTTCGACTTCGAGAGCCGCCACTACCGCGAGTTCGACCCGGACGTCGACGAGCACGCGCATGCCTGTGTGGAAACCAAATCTTCAACCCGACTTCAATGTGAGCGTATTCGAATGTTTTGACACAAGCTCTTCGGCTGGGCTTCGAGAACTCGACGAGAGCGATCGATCCGTCCAAAAATCAGCCGAATCGACTTCGATTTGACCGAGCTAGAGAATTCTCAAGTTTGGTGGGGACCACCCAAACCAGTGGTTGGTTTCCACACAGGCGCACTCCCACGCGGCGCTCCACGCGGAGTACCGGGAGCTCTTCGAGCGCGTCTGCGGCAACCACCTCGTGGCTGTGTTGGGCACGACGCCGGACGACTTCGCCGACGAGCTGCGCCGCGACCTGAACAGCGGCGACGGCGACCGGCGCGCGAAGGCCGAGGAGTTCCTCGACATCGTCCACAAGGCCGACGACTACGCCGAGTTCGCCGAGTCCATGAAGGCCGCCGTCCGCTCCGCGCGCTGGCTCGAGGAGCCCGACTGAACGCGCGGCGCCGCGCGGCGTTCGCGAGCTAGGAAGCGATGCACCTTCGGCCGCACCGATCACCATGCCGTGGGGCTTCTCGGCTTCAAGCGCGCTTCGAAGCTCTTCCGCGATGAGCGCGGCGCCCGATGCGGACGCCGCCCTCGACCCGTCGACGCGGGCGAACCTGGAGGCGATCCTCGCCGTCGCCCGGGAGCTGCCGAGCGCGGAGGACGCCGGCGTCGGCGGTAGAAACGCCGCCGTGCTCGGCCAGATCGCGGAGCTCGCCGCCGACATCGAGCGCGTGCTCGACGTCGCCGACGGCTTCGAGCGCCTCGAGGCGCCGCCGCCGCCGCCGCGCATCGCCGTGCTCTGCGGGTCGACGACGGACGGCGGCGCCGCCGACGGCACGGGCGCGGGCTACGAGGGCACGCTCGGCGACGTCGACCCGGACTTCGAGCCGATCCTCCGCGCGGCGCTCCCGGACGGCGCGGTGCTCGTGCCCTACGAGGAGGCGATCGCGGCGGGCGACTGCGTCGGCGCGCTCACCGTGACCCACGCGCACGTGTCCGACGCGCTCCTCGAGAAGCTCGGGCCGAAGCTGAGGGTCGTGTCGAACTACGGCGTCGGCGTGAACCACGTGGACCTCGAGGCCTGCGCGCGGCGCGGCGTGAAGGTCGGCCACACGCCGGGCGTGCTCGCGGACGCGACGGCGGACCTCGCCTGGGCCCTCCTGCTCGCGTGCGCGCGGCGCGTCCCCGAGTGCGACGCGTACGCGCGGTCGCCCGCCTTCGTCGCCTACGACAACATGGCCTTCCTCGGCTGCGACGTCGCGGGCAAGACGCTGGGCGTCGTCGGCATGGGGAGCATCGGCGGCGAGGTCGCGCGGCGCGCGCTCGGCTTCAAGATGGAGACGCTCTACTTCAACCGGACGCGGCGGCCCGAGGCCGTCGAGCGCGAGCTCAAGGCGACGTGGGTCCCGCGGCTCGCGGACCTGCTCCCGCGCTGCGACTTCGTCGTCGTCGTCTGCCCGCTGACGCCGGCGACGGCGGGGCTCCTCGGCGCGGCGACGCTGCCGCTCATGCGCGACGGGTCCGTGCTCGTCAACGTGTCGCGCGGCGGCGTCGTCGACCAGGCCGCGCTCCTCGCGGCGCTCGACGGGCCCGGCGGCCTCGCGCGCGCGGGGCTCGACGTGTCGTCGCCGGAGCCGCTCCCGCCGGGCCACGCGCTCCGCGGCCACGCGAAGGTCGTCTGGACGCCGCACCGCGGCTCCGCGACAACGGGCGCGCGCCGCGCGATGGCCGAGCTCGCGGCGGCGAACCTCGCCCTGGGCGTCGCGGGCGCGCCCCTCGCCCACTGCTGTAACGGGCTCTAGAGCGGCGGCGCGGCGAGGCGCGCGGGCCCGAGCGCGACGGCCTCGAAGGACGCGAGCGTCGCCGGCGCCGCGGCGTAGGCGCCGAGCTCGTTCGCGTCGGGCTGCGTCGGGTAGAGCCGCGCCGTGACGACGGCCCGCCCCTCGTCGGCGAAGGCCTCGAGGATGGAGCCGTCGAGGAAGACGTCGAGCTTGAGCCGCGCGGCGCCCGGCGGTAGGAACAGCGTCTTCGCGTAGGCGAACGCGGGCGCGGCCGCGTCGCGCGTCGAGTTCGACCGGTCGACGTAGAGCGACGCGGCGGCGGCCTTGAAGCCCGACGTCGACCCGTTGCGGAAGGGCTCGAAGGCGGGCGCGTGGCGGCCGCAGGGCATCTGGAGCGCCGTCGCCGCGAAGGCCTTGAAGCGGCAGAGGCCCCCGGCCGTGAACGTCCAGGCCGCGCAGGACGCGTCGGCGCCGCACGCGCCGCGGCAGCGCGCGAGCGTCGAGTTCGCGAAGGAGGCGCTGTCGCCGTTCGTCTCGTCCCAGAGGTCCACGTCCTGTAGGAGCGACGCGTCGCGGAGGCCGACGCGCGTGAACTCGTCGCCCCGCTTGAGCACGACGAGGCCGACGTCGAAGCCCGGATCGAGGTCTTCGAAGACCGCCGTCGCGCGCAGGGACGCGCCGGCGAGCGCCGCCGAGAAGGGCGCGGCCGCGTCGAGCGCGACGCCCGCGGCGCGCTCCGTCGGCCCGACGGCGAGGCCCGCGAGCTCGGGGAGCGGCGGCGTCCGGAGGTAGCGCGCCGGCCCGGGGAGGAAGGCCGAGTCGTCCGCGAGCCAGACCTCGCGGGGGAGGCCGAGCGTGCCGAACCACCCGCTTCCGATCGCCCGCGTCATCGCCCAATCTTCCCAGAAGCCCGAGCCGTGATCCGCCGCGCAGGGGTCGCGGTCCGCCTCGATGACCGCGGGGATCCACACGAGGCGGTCCTTCGCGGCGTCGTAGAGGTGCATGGCCGCGTAGCCCTCGCCGCCGTCGAAGACGTTCGACGCGTAGTCCGACCGGACGTCGAGCAGCGCGAACGACGCGTTCTCGTACGTGCCCAGCGCGTAGAACTCGCGCCCCGAGAAGTCGCAGGTCTTCTGCATGCCGTAGAAGACGGTGACGTTCGTGCCGGGGATCGCCATGGCGTTGGGGTCGCGCGGGTAGGGCCCGAAGCCGCAGAGCGCCGGGAGCGCGACGCAGCGCGTCCATGCGTAGCGGTGGAAGACGCCCTCGTCCGCGAAGCTCGAGAAGTTCGTCGTCGCGACGAGCCGCGCGGCGCCCGTGGCGCCGCCGGACGCGGGCTCGTTGGCGACGACGCGCCACTTGCCGTCGCCCGAGCCGTCGAGGAACGCCTGGGACAGGTCCGTGCCGGGGATGCCGGGCGTCGCGACGCACGCGGGCGCGCCCGTCCGGCCGCAGGGCGCGCCGTCGGGCAGCGTCGACGTCCAGTGGGTGAGCAGCGGGTCGCTGCGGTTCAGCGGCCGCGACCTGCCAAGGATGACGGTGACGATTTCTCATTGTTTTCCCACCCAAAATCTCTCAAAAAGTCGTCACGGCCACAGGACGCTGGCCGCGACTGCCAGTGGCCGCCGCCGCCGATCTCGTTGTAAATGGCGATGACGTCGCCGTCGGCGAGCTGCGCGACGCCGCCGCTCTCCGCGCCGGGCTGCGTCATCGGCGGCAGGGGCCACCAGCGGACGAGGTCCCGGGACGCGCTGTGGCACCAGCGCATGCGCTCGCCCTCCTTGAGGAAGCACTGCCAGGCGACGTGGTAGAGCCCGCCGCGGAGCATCATGCCGTTGGCGTCGCCGACGTAGCCCGGCGCGTTGTCGAGGCCGCCGAGGTGCCAGATGGGCCGCGCCGTCGCGTTCGGCGGGACCCAGGCGGCATCGGCGGCGGCGGCGGCGGCGGCGACGACGACGGTGAGGGTGCTGCCCGCCATCGTTCTCGATCGATCGCTGCGGAGACTGCATCGTCGCCTTCAATCGATCATGGAGCCGCCTCGGCGCCCTTGCTTGAAGATCCGCTCGCCTTGGTCGCGGCGGTCGCGGCGGGGCCGCGTCTCGCGGCCCCGCGCCCGGGTGCGTTACAGCGGCCGCGCCTAGGCGGCGGCCGCGGCGGCCTTCTCCGCCTTGGCGGCCTCGGCGGCCACCCTCTTCGCGCGCTTCTCCGCCTCCTTCTTCTTCTTCGCGTCGAGCTTCGCCTGCTTCTTCGCCTCCTTCTCCGCCTTCTTCTTCGCCTTCTCGGCGGCGGCGTCGGCGATGGCCTGGCCCGACGTCCAGACGACCTTGCCGTCCTCCCACTTGGGCTTCGGGAGGAGCACCAAAATGTCGTCGTCCGCGTGGCTCGCCTCCGCGATCTGGCGCGTGTAGCGCATGCCCTTGATGTTTTTCAGGGGCTCCTTCTTGTCGATGGACTTCTGGAGCTTATCGCTCGCCGCGTCGAGGACCTGGACGGCCTCGGGGTACGTCTTCGCGAGGGCCTCGACGACGGCGAGACTCCAGCCGCGGATGATCGCCTGGGCAGGAAAAAAGTGATTCAAATTCGCTTCAACGTGAGTGTTCTGCGCGCGTGCGTTCCGGAAAAAGCATCCACGCTTCGAGACCGTTCCGAGAGATGATCGCTCGTCCAAAAATCAGCCGAAACGAGTGGAAAACGGTCGAGATAGGAGCCTTTGAAGTTGGGAATTTCGCTCGCTTTTCCAGCCCCGGATGATCGCGAGCTCGAGGGGCAGGTGGCCCTTGGGGAAGCGGACGCCCTCCATGCAGCGCTGGGACGCCGCCGGCGCGTAGGCCTTGAGGATGGCCATGATGACGGGCTCGGCGACGAGGCGCCGCGCGCGCGCGGCCGCCTGCGCGGCCTCCGTCGCCGCGCCGTCCTCCCGCGCCTCCTGCGTGAGCACGTAGTGGAGCGGCATCCAGGGCGACCCCTTGCCCTCGCCGGGCATCTTGTCGCTGGCCGCCGCGGGCCGCTTCTTGAGGATGTGGAGCGCCGCGCCGTAGCCGCTCTGCGCGCCCGCGTTGCCCAGGTGCTCGTAGATGATGCCCGGCTTGGTCGCGTCGAGGCCGTCGGGCAGCGGCCGCGGCGACTTGGGCACCTGGGTCGCGATCCACTTGACGAACTCCTCCTCGTCGATGATGCCGTCCTTCGTCACATCAATACCCGCGCAGAGCTCGTCGAGGTGGCCCGGGTCGATGTGGTAGCCGAGGGCCTTGGCCGCCATCCCAAACTCGTCGTACGTGAGGCCGCCGGACGCGTCGGCGTCGAACTTCTCGAAGCTGAAGAAGATGCCGTCGCGCTGCACCGTCGCCGCGATGTCGCCCATGTCCTGCTCGTCGTCGTCGCCGAGCGCGACGATGGCGGCCCGGGAGACGAAGCCCCGGTCGTCGGCCATGTCGTTGTACTTTTGCAGGTCCCAGGCCTGCTCGCCGACGAACGCCCGCGCCTGCTCCTTGTCCAGCTGCTCCGGGAACTCCGGCGCCCCGGCGCTCGCGGCGGCGCCCATGGTCCGCGGAGCGCGCCGCCACGGGCGAAACGAGTGGCAGCGCCCCCGAAGAGAGCTTGAATGTTCAAGAAGTCAACGAGCGCACTGGTTAGGCCAAAGTGATGGAAAGGACCAAAACATAGGCCTCGGATACATGGCGTCCTTGACACCGCTGAAATTAGAGAGGCAGTATGTACTACGCGCCGCCCCACGCCGCCTACGCGCCCGACGCCCCGCCGCCGCCGCCGCCGCCGTTTTACTACGGCGCCCCCATGCCCCCGGCCTATTACGAGCCTCCCGAGCCGCCCTTCGTCGCGCGCCGCCGCGACCAGCCCATGCACGCGGGCCAAGGTGCGTTCCTTCCGCCGGCGCGCAGCCCCCCCCCAGGGCGCGACCCGCAGGGTGCGTGAAGCGGGCGCGCTGGGGCGCCCAGCACCGCATCCACGAGCACTTCGCCGACGGGTTCCCGGACCTCGCGCGGCGCTTCGTCAAGGTCCGCGCGTCCAGCGACCGCCGCTTCGAGTACGACCTCGGCACGCGGCGCTTCCCCTCGAAGCGCGGGCCGGTGTTTTCGAGAGGCGTGCGTCCCCGGGACGCGCGCGCGCAGGCGCCTCGGGGCCATCGGCGTCCGCCACCTCAACGCGCGCGTCCGCGCGGACCTCGAATCTTACGACCCCGACGTCGACGCGAGCGCGCCGTTTCGACGCGAGCGCTTCCGCCGCGCTTCGCGAGCTCGACGAGAGCCATCGATGCGTCCCAACATCAGCCGTGACCGAGCGAGAGCATTTCCGAAGTTCTCACGGGACGACGTCCCGCGCAGGCGCTCTTCCGCCGGCTCGACAGGGCCATCGGCACGCGGGACGCGTCGCTCGTCCACGTGCGCGCCCGATCGGCGCGCCCGTGTGATCGCGACCGCCCCGTAGGAGCTGCGCGCGATGCTCACGGACGTCCTCGAGGACTGGCGCTTCCGCCACCACTGGCGCGCGGGCGGCGGCGGCGGCGGCGACGACGACGGCGCGAGCGACGCGAGCAGCGACGCGGAGGACGACGACGCCGACGCCCCGCGAGCGCCGCCGTCCCTCGTCGCCCGCCGTTTCCGCGACGGGCCCCGCGCGCAGGCCGCGGCCGCCGCCGACGCCCGAGGACGAGGCCGAGGCCGCGGCGCACCTCCGGGCCGCGCGTCGCCGGCGTCCCTCCCCCCCCCGTCGCGCGGCGACGGCCGCCGCGCAGGAGCGCATCGCCGTCGCGCTCGTGAAGATCCTCTACGCGCAGGAGGCGCCGCCCGCGGCCGCGTCGCCGGGGCCGAGCCGGCCGCCGACGCCGCCGGGCGGCGCGGCGGGCCCGGCGGTCCTCGACCTCGCCGGCGACGAGGCGCCGGCGACGGCCGGGTGCGACGCGGCGGCGCCCATCGACCTCGCCGTCGACGACGGCCGACGCCCCGCGCGGCGGCGGCGACACCGCGGAGACGCCAGTACGACGCATCGACGCGCAGCACGACCAGGCACCCGCTAATCGAGGCTTCGATTCGCCGTGAACGCCGACGCGTTCGTAATTAGCGCCGTCGGGAGTTGTCGTCGTCGGCGGCGTCGGCCGTCGGAGCTCGAAGGCCAGAAACGCGATGAGTCAGTGAGGTGGACCACTTCACGCGTCGTCGTCCTGCGCTCGCTGCGAGCATGAACACCCCTTCCGCGGACGCCACGGCGCCGCCGACGCGCCGCCGCGCCGCCAAGGCGGTCAACTACGCGGAACCGAAGCTCAACACTAAGCTGCGTCAAGCAGAGACGTCGGCCAAGGCGCCTAAGGCGCCCAAGGAGGCGCCAAAGGAAGCGAAGGCGCCCAAGGCGGCGCCAGTCAAGAAGAGCATAAATGCCGCCAAGAAGCGCGCCAAGGCTGAGGCCGCAGACGACACCGAGGCCGCGGCCGCGAAGCCCGAGGCCGCGGTCGCCGAGTCGGCCGCGGCCGTGCCCATGGCGGCGATCACGCCGATCGCCAACCCCGAGGGCCTCAGCGAGTACGAGCTCGAGCGCAAGGCGCGCATCGAGCGCAACGAGGCGTTCATGGCGTCCCTGGGCCTCGGCGGCGGCCTCGCGGCCGTCGACGAGGGCAAGCGCAAGGCCGCGAGCCAGCGCGGCGTGTCGCGGAAGCGCGCGAAGAAGGCGCCGAGCGAGCCGCCGCGCCGGAGCCAGCGCGTCCAGGGCATCGGCGCCGACGGCGCGCAGCTGCCCGCGAACTTCCGCGAGCCGACGGCGTACGCGCCCCAGGGCGCCTGGGAGTCGCGGCCGCGCAACGTCGAGGACGTGCCGCTGCTCGCCGACGACGAGGACGACGACGCCGCCGCGGCGGAAACGGCGGCGAAGCGCGGCGCCATCGTCGCGGCCCTCGCGGCCAAGGAGGCCAAGAAGCCGTCCGCGCGGACGCCCATGGACGCGCGGGCCTACCGCGCGTCGCTCCAGTCCTTCGCGCTCAAGGAGGCCGACGTCGCCAAGGTCACGAAGGACCGCACGTACAGCCTCGCGTGGCTCCCGTCCACGGACAAGCTCCTCATCGCCGCGGGCGACAAGAGTGGCCGCGTCGGCCTCTGGGACGTCGACGACGCCGACGGCGAGACGTGCTGCGCGCAGTTCTCCGACCTCCACGCGCGGCCGCTGACGGCGCTCGCGTGGCGGGGCGCGCAGCTCTACTCCGGCGGCTACGACAGCTTCGTGCGGCGCACGGACTTCTCCGAGGGTTCTTTGCGGTCCACCGTCGTCGCGGACTACGAAAACGACGACTGCGACGACCTCACGCACTGGTGCCTCCGCGACGACGTGCTCTGGGGCGCGCACAAGTGCGGCGGCCTGAGCCGCCACGACGTCCGCGAGCCCGCGGGGTCCAAGAAGTTCGTCGCCGACGCGCACGGCAAGAAGGTCGCGCACGTCGCGTGTCGCCCGGGCCGCGCCGAGGTCGCCACGTCCTCCAACGACGGCGAGCTCAAGCTCTGGGACGTGCGCAAGCTCGGCAAGAAGCCGACGCCCCTCGCCGTCATGGGCCACGACAAGTCGATCCACGGCTTCGACTTTTCGCCCGACGGCCTGACCGCGTGCTCCGTGTCCTACGACAACACGGTCGCCTTCTGGGACCTGTGCAAGAAGGTCCCGACGGCCGTCAAGGTCCGCCACGACAACCACACGGGCCGCTACCTCACGCCCTTCAAGCCCGTCTTCGACGTCCACGCGCCCTCGCCCGTGCTCGTCGTCGGCTCCATGGCCAAGCCCCGCGCCATCGACGTCGTCCAGGCGGCCGCGCCCCACTACCTCATCAAGCTCAACGACGGCATGGGCGTCTTCCACGCGGTCACGTCCATCCACGCGGTCCACCCCTTCGTCCACGCCATCGCCGGCGCGAACAACTCGGGCCGCGTCTCCCTCTGGCGCAAGTAAGGCGCGCCTAGCCGATGGACTTATGCATGTCGACGACGAGGCTCGAGTCCTCGGGCCGCCCGCGGTCGTCCAAACGCCCGTAGCGCGCGCCGATGGACTGCGCGTGGACCCAGAGCGGCGCGTTCTCCGGCGCGCGCTTCACGTGGCCCGTCGCCCCCGCGTAGGCCGGCCGGACGGGCTCGTCGACGAAGGCGTCGCCGTCCCAGTACTGGCGGACGTGGTAGCCGGGGAAGAGGCCGCACGCGTCGAGCTGCGCGCGGAGCAGCGCCGCCGTCGGCAGGACGACGTGGGACGGGTCCGCCGCGTCGAAGCCCGCCGCGAGCGACGCCGCGTGGCGCGGCGCGCCGTAGTCCGGGAGCGCGAGCCGCGCGACGCCGCCGGGCCTGAGGACGCGGCGCCACTCGCGAAGCACCGACGGCCACGCGGCCAGCGGCAGGTGCTCTAGCACGTGCTCCGACAAGATCTCGTCGACGGCGTTGTCCGGCAGGTCCATGGGCTCCGTGAGGTCGTGGACGACGAAGAAGGGCACGCGGCCCGGGTCCGGCTCGCCGGCGGACTTGTCGAGGCCTTTCTGCTTCAGATCCCGAAACCCCACGCAGACGAAGTCCCAGTACCACACAAAGGGCGCGCAGTCGACGTTGCCGCCGACGTTGAGCCGGACGGGGAAGCCGAGCCGCGCCCGGTGGCGGACGTCGGCCCAGGTCGTCGGCAGGCGCGCGCCGAACTCCGCGAGCGTCGCCGCCGGGTCGCCGTCGTCGACGAGCAGCGCCTCGCCCAGCGCCGGCGCGTGGTCCCGGCAGCTCCGCGTGTCGACCTGTGTGGAATTCAAATCTTCAACCCGACTTCAATGTGAGCATATGCGACAGTTTCGGCGCACAGTCTTCGGCTGTGCTTCGAGAACTCGACGAGAGCAATCGATTCGTCCAAAAATCAGCCAAATCGACTTCGATTTGACCGAGCTAGAGAATTCTGAAGTTTGGTCAGGACCACCCAAACCAGTGGTTGAATTCCACACAGGTGTCGACGATGAGGCAGAAGCGCGCGAAGGCCGACGCCAGGCTCTCGTCGGCCCAGAGCACGACGCGCAGCGCGGCCGCGGATCCGTCCGGCTCCGTGAGGCTGACCTCGCCCCAGCGCCCCGGCGCCCAGCCGCCGACGTCGCCCCAGGCCGGCTCCGCGTCCTCGCGGCCGTTGGCGCAGCGCCCGCAGCTCCGGTCGCAGAAGTGGCCGGCGGTCCGGCAGTGGCCGAGGAGGGCCAGGGTCGTGCAGTCCTCGTAGGCGCCGTCGATGCTCGACCGGCCGTAGGAGCTGCGCCGCTCGTCGAGGGCGTCGCAGCAGCTGTGGCTGCAGCCCGTGGACTGCGAGAGGACGCGGGGCAGCGCGACGGCGGCGAAGAGAGCAACGCTGCTGCCCATCGTGCTGCGCATGCGAAAAGTGCCGAAAACCGAGACGACGCGGGCGCTGCTGCCCATCGCACCCGGTGCCGGCCGCCGGCGCCCTGCGGGCTGCGAGAAGTGCAACCTCGAGTACAAGCACCCTGCAAGCACCCTGACTGCATGCTCTCCGAAGCCGCGCGACGATGGACCTGCGCGCCGAGCTGAAGAGCGAGCAGGCGTCCGTCTTGGACCTGGACCTCTCGGCCTTCGACAAGCTCGGCGTCGTCGACGACGACGCCGTCGACGTCGACGACGACGACCCGGAGCTGCTCGCGGAGCTCGCGGCGCTCACGGGCGCGGCGCCGGCGCCGGCGAAGGACCCGGCGGCGCTGCGCGCCGAGGCGCTGGCGCTGAAGCGGCAGGCGCTCGCGCTGAAGCGGGCCGGCGACGCCGCGGGCGCCGTCGCCAGGCTCCGCGAGGCCAAGGCGCTCGAGGCCGAGGCCGCCGCGCTCCCGGCGGCCGCGCCGCCGCCGCCGCCGCCGCCCGCGCCGCCGCCGGCGCCGCCGCCCGCGCGGGCGCCGGACCCGGGCGCGGCGGCGCTCGAGCTCCCGGCCATGGAGGCCCTCGCGGACGCGGTGCTCGCGTCGTCCGCGGCGCTCGACGACGACGACGGCGCCGTCGGCTTCAGGGCAGGACAAGAGAGCGAAATTCCCAACTTCAAAGGCTCATATCTCGGCCGTTTTCCACTCGTTTTGGCTAATTCTTGGACGAGCGATCATCTCTCGGGACGGTCTCGAAGCGTAGATGCTTTTTCGGGAACGCGCGCGCGCAGAACACTCACGTTGAAGCGACGTTGAATCACCCTTGCCCAGGTCGGCTTCTCGGCGGCCGACGAGGACGACCCGGAGCTGCTCGCGGAGATGGCGCGGCTCGCCGGCGCGCCGGAGCCGCCGAAGCCGCCGCCGGCGCCCCGGCCCGCGGCGCCGGCGCCCGGGCCCGCGGCGCCGCCGCCGGCGGAGACGCCCGCGACGCTCAAGCGGCGCGCGCTCGCGGCGAAGCGCGCCGGCGACGCCGCGGGCGCCGTCGCGCTGCTCCGGCGCGCCAAGGCGCTCGAGGCCGGGACGGCCGCCGTCGCCGGCGCCGCCGCGGCGGCGCACCGGGGCACGTCGCGCGACGAGGGCTGGCGCCGGCTCCGCGCGGCCGTCGACGAAGCCTTGAAGGCGTGCGTCGCCGAGGCGCGGGCCAAGATCGCCGCCAAGGACCGCGCGGGCGCCGAGGCGCTCGCGGCGCGGTGCCGCGAGCTCAAGGCGCTCGCCGCGCGCGCCGCGCGGTCGCAACAGGCCGGCGGCGCGCCGCCGGCGTGGCGCGCGACGACGGCGACGTCGCGGCGGCGCGTCGTCGACGGCGACGTCGGCGAGACGTCGCTGCGCGTGGGCGTCCGGAGCCTGCGCCTGCCCCTCGCCGCGCGCGCGCGCGACGGCCAGGCGCCGCGCGGCGCGCCCAAGTACGCGCGCGTGGCCTGGGCGCTCTCCGACGGCTGCGGCGCGACGGGCGCCGGCCGCACGGAGCTCGCGAGATTATCATTGGCGAGCGACGGGCGGAGCCTCGCCTGCGATTTCGTCGACTGCCTCGCGGCGGACTGCGCGCTCGACGGCGCGCTCGTCGCGGCCGCGGCCGCGAGCCGCGGGGGCGCCGCGTCCGTGAAGCAGGCCCACGCGCTCTCGCGCTTCGGCCGCGGGAAGCTCTGCCTCGACGTCACGACGGCGCCCGGGGGCGCCTTCTTCGGCAAGCGCGAGTCGGTGCACGCGCGGGCCAAGGCCGGGCTCGACGGCCTGCTCTCCGCCGCGGCCGTCGACGACGCGCACGCGTCCGCGGGCCGCGTGCGATCGGAGGACGACGCGTCGCCCGTCTTCGCGCGGCACGGCGCGCGCGTGGCCTTCGGGCTCTCGCTGCGCGAGCCCCTGCGCGAGCCCGCGTACGAGACCGTCGCGGGGCGGCCCGATTTGGAGGTCGACGAGGCCACGTGGCCCCGCGACCCCGGCGGCGCCCTCCGGGCCGCGCCGCCGGCGGCGAACGTGCCCCAGAGCGAACTCGACGACCCGAGGGGCGTCGCGCTCCTCGTCTCCGACGCCGTCCTCGACGCGGAGATCGCGAAGCACGACGCGTCCAGCGGCGCGCTCGAGGTCGTCGCGCTGCGCCTCGCCCTCGTCGCCGCGCAGCAGCTGCTCCACGCCGAGGTCGGCAACGGGAGCCTGACGCCGCGCGCCTACGCCGCGCGCGTCAAGGACCGCGCGGACGCGGACCGGCGCCTCGCGGGCCACCTCCGGCGCCTCGGGCGGACGCGCGACGCCGCGGCCGTCGCCGCGCGCGTCAAGATCGCCGACGCGGAGCTCGCGGAGATGGCCGAGGGCGGCCTGTAACGCGTCGTTTTTTTCCCTCGGGCCGGGCGCGGAAGCGCGGTCTCTCTCCGGGGGCCGCGATTCCCTCGGCGCCAGGACGCGGCTCGCGGTCTCCCGCAACACATCCCGCCATGGCGGGGGATCTTGAGTGGGATCTTCGAATCGCGACGGGCTACACGGGCTACTGCACGGTCGGCGCCGGCTCGAGGACGCGGAGAACGGGATCGTCGTCTCCTACGCCGTCCTCTCGTCGACCGCCGCCGCGGCCCGGTCCGTGGTCGATTCGCTCGCGTCGACCGACGCGGTCCATGTCGACGCCGCGATCGCCGACGCCGCCGCCGCCGCGGGCGTCGACGCGCTCTTCTCCGCCGTGACGATGACGGACGCGACCGAGCCGACCGCGGTCGCGGCCGGCGACGACGGCGACGGCGGCGACGACGACGCGGACAAGGCGGGGCTCTCCGGTCTTTCGATGCTCTCCGTCGCAGCCATGGGCGCGTTCGTGTGCTTCTGCTTCGGCGCCCTCCTCGTCGCCCGGTCGCGCTCGTCCGGCCGCGAGGCGAGGTCGAAGTTCGCGGGTCCGCCGCCGAAGACGGTGGAGTTCGCCGACAACCCCATGAGAGGGGAGTCCCCATGAGAGGATACGTTACCGGAGGCTGCGAATTTCCTTAGGGGCGCTCGCTAGGACACGGGCGGCGTCGCGTCCGCCGCGCCCGGGGCCCCCGCGAGGTCGATGGGCGCGACGTAGGGCAGGTCCGCCGCCGGCGCGTCGCGCCGCGCGTCGCGCGCCGCCGCGCGGGCCCCGCCGCGCGTCCGCCTCGGCCGCGAGCGCCGCCGAGACCTCGGCGTCGACGGCGCCGAGGTCGTTGCGCGCGGCCGTCGCCCGCAGCTCGTGGATGAGCGCCAGGAGCTCGTCGGCGGCGTGGGCGATGTTGCAGGCGTGGAGCTCGACGGCGTGGGCGCTGCCGTGGGCCTCCTCCTCCGGCGAGCCAACGCGCGACGCCGCGACCATGCGCCGCAGCGAGTCCGTCATGCGGTGCAGGTGCGTCAGCGCTTCCTCGTCCGGCCGCCGCCGGCGCGCGTCGAGGGCGCTCATCGCGACCGGCGCGACCGGAGCGCGCGAGGCGAGAACTCGCGGCGGGAGGCCGGCCGTGAACAGGCCGAGATCTCAGGCCGCTCGGCGTGCCGGCCGACGGTGCTCTTCAGAAATCTTCGACGCTTCCCTCATCGGGTGACCTCGGTCGGGGCAGCCCACAGCCGCAGCCATGGTCCTCCGCAGGCTCGCGCTCGCGTCGCTCGCCGGCGCGTCGTCGGCGACGGTGCTCTTCAGCGCGGACTGCGCCGGCGCCGGCACGGGCACGGGCGAGTGCATCTACTCCATGGACGTCGACGCCCTCAACGTCAAGGCGAACCTGACGGCGGAGCTCGCCTACACGTCCAGCGGCAAGATCAGCGCCCTCGAGGTCGACGTGCCCCACAGCAAGATCTACTGGACGGACCGGACCAACGAGGCGCTCATGGGCGCGACGCTCGGCTCCGACTTCGCCGACGCCAAGGTGTTAGTCTCCGGCATGGGCGAGCCGCACGACGTGTCCGCCAGCGTCCTGCGGCCGTGACGATTTTCGAGAGCTTTTGACCGGGGAAACGAAGAAAATCGTTACCGACGCACTTGGTAGGTGTCCGCGCGGCTCTCGACGGGCGCGGTCTACTTCGCCGACAAGGTCAAGGGCACGGTGGAGTTCAGCGCCGATTACGGCGCGACGCACCAGACCTTCGCGAGCGACCTCGAGGCGCCCGTGGGCGTCGAGGTCGACGACGACAACGCGCGCCTCTACGTCGGCGACTACGCGGCGGGCGCCATCTGGGCCTACGACCTCGACAAGCCCGGCTTCCGCGTGCCCTTCCAAGCGAATTGCACGCAGCC